CCAGGCTGGAGTGCAGTGGTGTGATCTCAGCTCATTGCAACCCCTGCTTCCTGGAATCAAGCGATTCTCCTGCCTTAGCTTCCTGAGAAGCTGAGATTACAGGTGCATGCCACCGTGCCTGGCTAATTTTTGTATATATATATATTTTTAGTAGAGACACAGTTTTACCGTGTTGGTCAGGCTGGTCTTGAACTCAAGTGATCTGCCCCCACGTCAAACTAGCGTTGTGTTCTTACCATGTTTCCCAGGCTGATTTTGAACTCCTGGGCTCAAAGCAGTCCTCTCTGACTTGGCCTTCCAAAGTCCTGGGATTATAGGTGTCAGCCACTGTTCCCAGATTATAAAATTTTTCTTAATAGATTGTGCTAAATTTTTTTTAATGGATCATGTGTCTGAGAAATCTTTGTCTAACTCATAGTCACAAAGAGTAAGCTAACATCTGTTTAGAATATTTATTTGCAACTTCAGAGTATTGCCACAAAATTTTTATTTTTGTTTTGCTTCTAGACAGCATTACTTGAAGACACAAGACTAGGTCTTATTTAAAAAGTTATCAGAAGTCATTTCTACTCCTTTAATACATTTTCAATTTATTAGTTATTTCTCTGTTATTTTTTGCTTCCCTTTTAGTACCTGCTCATCAAAAAAAAAGAGAAAACACACTGTTTGATATTCATAGATCTCCAGCAAGAAGAAGCCATATTAGGTAAGTTTTGTTTGCTTTTGAGGGGAGGAAATATATGCATTTGTCAATGAGAGACTAATTGTATCTTTCTTTCTTTAATTAGTGACTAATAGTTATCATCCTACATGTGACTGTTGTCTTCCTGATTCACAGTTTGCTTGGAATATTTGTTGTTTTAACAGTTATGTTCTCTAAAGCTACACAGCTCTTTGGTCTCTTAGCAGAGTTGAATCTAAGTGACCCATATTGCTTTCATTTGAAGCATTAATTTGAGTTAATCTTTGATATTTTTTACCCCCTAATTATCCTTTCTTTTACATGTAGGTACAAAGGAAGGTGTCTTTTTCTTTTTTTTGGGATGGACTCTCACAGTGTCACCCGGGCTGGAGTGCAATGGCATGGTCTTGGCTCACTACAACCTCCACCTCTCAGGTTCACGTGACTCTCCTGCGTCAGCCTCCCAAGTAGCTGGATTACAGGCTCATATCACCACGCCCAGCTAATGTTTTGTATTTTTATTAGAGACAGGGTTTCACTATGTTGGCCAGACTGGTCTCAAATTCCTGACCTCGTGATCCACCTGCTTCGGCCTCCCAAAATGCTGGGATTATAGGCATGAGTCACTGCACCTGGCCTTTTTTTTTTTTTTTTTTTTTTTTTTTTTTTTTTTTTTTGAGATGGAGTCTCGCTTTGTTGCTGAGGCTGGAGTGCGGTAGTGCAGTCTTGGCTCACTGCAACCTTAATCTCCTGTGTTCAAGCAATTCTGTCTAAGCCTCCTGAGTAGCTGGGATTACAGGTGTGTACCACCAGGCCCAGCTAATTTACCTATTTTTAGTAGAGATGGAGTTTTACCATATTGGGTGGGCTGGTCTCAAACTCCTGACCTCAAGTAATCCACCCTGCTTGGTCTTCCAGAGTGCTGGGATTCCAGATGTGAGCTACTGTGCCCAGCCAGTTTTTGCTTTTAAAAGTTTATTTTTTAATTTCCTGAAGCTACGTAGCTCTTTAGTCTCTTAGCAGAGTTGAATCTGAGTAACCCATATTGCTTTCATTTGAAGCATTGACTCAAGTTAATCTTTGATACTTTTTTCTCCCTAATTATCCTTTCTTTTACATTTGGAAGAAAGTAGAAACAAAGGACAGTTTCTACTTTTAAAAGTTTATTTTTTATTTTTGAGACAGGGTCTTGCTCTGTCACCCAGGCTGGAGTGCAGTGGCATGATCTTGGCTCATTGCAGCCTCAGTCTCCTGGACTTAAGCAGTCCTCCCATCTCAGCCTCCCGAGTAGCTGAGGCTACAGGCACACGCCACTATGCCCAGCTAATTTTTGCATTGTTTGTAGAGATGAGGTTTTGCCATGTTGCTCAGACTGGTCTTGAACTCCTGGGCTCAAGTGTTCCCAAAGTGCTAGGATTATAGGCATGAGCCACTGTGCCCAGCCAAGCTTTTAATTTTTACAAAGTTCAAGTTACCTATTTTTTATTTTTTGCTTATGCTTTTATTGTTATATATAAGAATCCATTGCCAACTCAGAGGTCATAAAGATTTGTTCCTGTGGTTTCCTCTAATAGTTATATCTCTTATGTTTAGGTCTTTGATTTATTTAGTTAATTTTTGTATATGGTTTGAGTTAGTTTTGTATATCTTGTGTATATATAGACTCCTTTGCTTTTGTTTTTTGCTAATTTTTGTATATATATATTTTAATGTAGAGACAAGGTTTTGCTGTCTCAGGCTGGTCTCAAACTCCTGGGCTCAAGTGATCTGCCCACCTCAGCCTCCCAAAGTGCCGGAATTATAGGCATGAGCCACCAACTCCTTGGCTTTTAAGTTCTTTTTTTTTCAACCTCCACCTCCTGGGTTGAAGCAATTCTCCTGATTCAGCCTTCTGAATAGCTGGGATTACAGGCATGCACCACCATGTCTGGCTGATATTTGTGTTTTTAGTAGAGCTGGGGTTTCACCATGTTGGCCAGTCTGGTCTCAAACTCCTGACCTCAAGTGATCTGCCCACGTCAGCCTCCCAAAGTGCTGGAATTATAGGCATCAGCCACTGTGCCTGGCCCCAACTAAAATTTTGGCTTTTCAGTTCTTTACAGGGAAATTATGTATGCCACTCTTTTTGTTGTATTACTATTTGTATCACACCTAAAAATGTTAGCAGAACTAATAATACCTTGTCGGAATTATTACTTCATATGATTTAATGGCTTTTACTGAAGCTGCTAGAAGAAATATTAGCAAGTACAGTCGTCCCTCTTTAGCCATGGGTTCTGCATGTGTGAATGCCACCAACCAGGCCTCAAAAATACTTGAGAAAAAATGCCAACAATACAACAACAAAAAATGCAGCAAGGTGACTATTTACATAGCATATGTGTTGTATTAGGTATTATAATTGATTTAGAGATGATTTAAAATATATAGGAGGTAACTCTTAACGTTGTCTTTGATAAATTTTCAAAAAAAGTGTATGGGAGTATGTGTGTAGGCCATATGCAAACACTATACCATTTTTATATAAGGGACTTAAGCATACTCAGATTTTGGCATTCACAAGGGTCCTGGGACCATTTTCCTGTATATGCTGAGGGATGATTATATGTTTATAGGTATTGCTGTATTAACTTTGAAATTGATTTACCATTTTTGGTTCTCTTGGTTTTTTTCTTATGCATTCAGTTTACCAACTGAAGTCATTTTCTTAGACTAATACAACTTTGCTCCCACCAACTTCCTTCTGTGCAGTTATTGGCAAATTTATTACATTTCTATATATTATAGGCCCAATACATACATAAACTTGGGAACTTTCCTGATGGGGAGAAAAAAGTAGAGGAGAGGATAAATATCAAAATTGCAAAGAATAAGTAGATAATTTTTGTAACAATTTTCCTGAAGAGTTGGGAAGCATCAAAAATTGATGCAGGGCCTCCCCAAGCCACTGCCATTGCCACCTGCAGACTGGTGCTGATCTGGCCTGGCAAGAGCGCCTGGAACCTGGAGAACCGCTTCAGCATCTGGTATGATGCTAACCTGAGCCCAGCGGCCCATGAGGAGGCGAAGTGTGGCAGGCAGGTGCTGCGAGATCCTGGCAGTGAGTTTGATATCTGCTTCACCTCAGTGCAGAAGAGAGCAATCCGGACCCTCTGGACAGTGCTAGATGCCATTGATCAGATGTGCCTGCCTGTAGTGAGGACTTGGTGCCTCAGTGAGCGGAATTATGGGTCTGACCGGTCTCAATAAAGCCGAAACTGCTGCAAAGCATGGTGAGGCCCAGGTGAAGATCTGGAGGTGCTCCTATGATGTCCCACCACCTCTAATGGAGCCCAACCATCCTTTCTACAGCAACATTAGTAAGGATCGCAGGTATGCAGACCTCACAGAGAATCAGCTACCCTCCCGTGAGAGTCTGAAGGACACTGTTACCAGAGCTCTGTCCTTTTGGAATGAAGAAATAGTTCCCCAGGTCAAGGATGGGGAATGGGTACTGATTGCAGCCCAGGGCAACAGCCTGCGGGCCATTGTGAGTCATCTGGAGGGTCTTTCTGAAGAGTCTATCATGGAGCTGAACCTGCTGACTGGTATTCCCATTGACTATGAATTGGACAAGAAGTTGAAGCCCATCAGGTGCTTGTATTTCCTGGGGAACGAAGAGACCATGCGTAAAGCTATGGAAGCTGTGGCTGCCCAGGGCGAGGCCAAGAAGTGAAGGCCAGCAGGCAGGCTACTGTCCCCAGGAGCACCTTCCCTGCCCATTGTGTCCATCCACCCGTCTCTCCTGCACATGTCACACTGACCACATCTGTAGACCTATTGAGTTGTAGCTGCAGATGGGGACCAGTGGTTCCCATTTTCATTTTAGCCATTTTGTCTCGTGCACCCACTCACTTCATACAGTCTAGTCAGAATAGCACTTCTAGGGCACTGGGTTCTCAGTCCGAGCTGCGGAAAAGCTCTCCTTGTCCAAGAGAGTTTAAAGGTCGTGACTTGGGTTTTTATGAGTGCTTTGTTTACTAAGGACTTGTAGGGAGGAACCATGCTAAGCCATGACCAATGAGGAGAAACAAGAGAGCCTGTCTGCCCCCAGGAGCCGGTCCTGTGCTCTTTGTAGTCAGGTCACTGCTGAGGAATTCTAATCATTCCAGTGGAAGATGAATGTAACCTGCATTGTGATGCAACAACTGTTTCCTCCCTGACCCCAGAGGAGCTGGCTCTAGAAGGTTGGGATTAATCCTGAATTTAGTTTATGTGTTACATTTACTTTTACTTTTTTTAAAAAAAGTGTGGTATATATAAATAATACAAAACAATAACCCTTCTGGGGTTTCTCATGGCAGCTGAAATAGTCCCACATGTGGTTGTCAGAAAATAAGCCACTCCTCATACCAATATGGGATAAGCTTCTTTACCTCTGAGGGGTAGGAGTGCTTCCTGCTGTGTGTTTTATAATCCCTCCCTTGCCTTGTTTCGTGGTAGTGAAACGCCTCTTGGTCCTGTCCAAGTGTGTCTTTCACTGACGATTTCTGAATCACGTTCTAGTTTCTTGGCCCTGTCATGTGGGTCCAGTCTTCATTTGAACATAATTGTACTAAATCCTGTTTCCAGATCAGCATAATATAGGAGTGATGTGCAATTAAAAAAAAAATTGATGCAGGCCCAAGCATGGTGGTGGTTCGTGCCTATAGTCTTAGCATTTTGGGAGGCTGAGGCAGGAGGATTGTGGGAGCCCAGAAGCACATGCCTGCAGTTAGCTATGATCATGCCACTACACTCCAGCCTGGATGACACAGTGAGACCCTCTATCTAAAAACAAAAATGAAAACAGAAACAATTCCCTTTTCCCCCATAAAAAAATGAGTGCAGAAGGTAATAAAAGGATTCTGGTTAGCAGAGAAGGAGTAGGAGGTGGGTTAAGAATCTCAAGAAGCAGTTGAAAAAACCTGGGTTGCTAATGAGCCCATGTGGGCATTGGAGTGGAGTACAGATGCACAGATTTTGGGACATCTTTGAAGGCTATTTGTGCTTGTAATAAATTACTGACAATGATTCTGCCTTGTCTGGTTGTGTGGATTTTCATTAGTGTGTTCAGCACTTTTATTACTTGGATTGGTACAGGGTTAGAATTTAGCAAGTATAGTGGAAGAAAAAGGAGACAGAGTCAGGTAAGAAGATTAAAAACTGAAGTAATAGCTTTTACTGTGAGCTTGACAGAAAATGAAGCCACGAAAGGAGTTGACTGTGAGTCAATGGGTGCTCAGGCATAGCAGGCCTTGATGAGTTGAAAGTTGGTATTTTAGGAGGTTGTGTTCAAAGAGTAAGCCATTAAATTTTAAAATTGCAGAGATGGAGAGCAGTTCATGAGATAACAAAGTCTGATGTAAGATCATGGCAAATTTTCTTTTTATTTTTTTTAAGTAAAGCAGAGCTGAGGTGGTTAAATGGCTAGGCAGGTGGTAAGTGAAACCTAGGTAGGGATGGAGAAAAAGATGTCATAATGGATATTTACAGGCAGTGATTATGTGGTGGGCAAAAAGGGATTTTTGAGGGTTTTTTTTTTTTTTGCAAATTACTTGTTAATAGAACTGCTAACTGAATATGCAATTTAAAAGAAGTGGTTGAAGCATTTGATTTGGATATGATGAACTCAGTTTGAACACTTTGTAAGCACGCAATTTGGTGGTGGTTTTATTATAATATTTTTAAGTTATCTTAGAGATATCATGAGTTATACTAATAATCTGACATTTGTTAAGTATTATTTCTCCTTTGTGATGACTTTAGCCTGGCATATTGCCTAATCTTTCCATAATATTTCTGGTTATAAACTATTTTTTTCTTCAAAATATTTTATGTATTTTATAAGAAGTTCTAACAGGATAGAAATATCTTAAGTGGAAAGTGAAAGCCCTTGTCCTCTGTAACCCAGTGTATTATATTTCCTTTGTTCTTTAAATGTGTAGACTGTGACTATTTGGGAAAGATAGAGTTAAAAAAAAAAGACAAACTTTTTTCTCAGATTCTAATATTATTTATCAAACAATGACAGATATTCGCTAAATTTGGATGTAATTTAAATTGGTTGCTGTCCCTGTGTGGTGGCTCATGTCTGTGATCCCAGCACTCTGGGAGGCCGAGGCGGGTAGATTGCTTGAGCTCAGGAGTTTAAGACCACCTTGAGCAACATGGTAAAACCCCTTCTTTACAAAAAGTACGAAAATTAGCCAGGTGTGGTGGCATGTGCCTGTAATCCCAGCTGTTTGGGAGTTTGAAGTGGGAGGATTGCGTGAGCCCCAGAAGTTAAGGCTGTAGTAAACCCTGAGCTTGCCGCTGCGCTTCAGCCTGGGTGACAGTAAGACCCTGTCTCAAAAAAAAAAGTTGGTTACTGACTCCCTTCCTGAATTATTCTTTTCAAAAAATTGTAGACTTCATATTCTTCTTTTTTTCTTTTCTTTTCTTTTTTTTCCAAAATGGAGTCTTGGCTCTGTCACACAGGCTGGAGTGTAGTGGCATGATCTCAGCTCACTGCAACCCCTGCCTCCTAGGTTCAAGCAATTCTCCTGTCTCAGCCTCCCGAGTAGCTGGGATTACAGGTGCCCCCCCCCCCCCCCCGTAATTACTGCACCCAGCTAATTTTTGTATTTTTAGTAGAGACGGGGTTTTGCCATGCTGGCCAGGCCGGTGGTCTCCAACTCCTGACCTTGTGATCTGCCTGCCTTGACCTCCCAAAGTGCTGGTATTATAGGAGTGAGCTACCGTGCCGGCCCTTTTTTTTCTCTTTTTCTCTTCAGAACTTGCTACCTTTATACTTCATTGATGTAAACTGTATGAGAGCAAAAATCCTAATAAATATTTGCTGATTGAATTTTCTACTAATTGTAGATATGATTACAGTGTGTTTTAAAAAGTTGTTTGCTCTTATAATGGTTTTAAGGATTTTACTGTTTTTAAATAGGAGAAAGAAGCATGCCATTCATAGTAGTGACACAACTTCTTCTGATGAGGAACGCTTTGAAAGAAGGAAATCAAAGAGCATGGCAAGAGCAAGAAATAGGTTAGTAAAATTTTTAGTGTTACTTTCATGGTAGAAAAAGGAAAAATAAGGGTTTTTTTTTTTTTAGTGAGTTTCTTATCTATATCGTATAGGCACATTGATAACATTGATATTCAACACATATTTTAGACTAGATTAAGACATTGACTTGGTGTCTACTTAGTTTCTCTTCCAGTAGAAATCTAACCTTGGGAAATTTCCCCATAGTTACTTAGTCTGAAAATACTTATGATAAAATAATTTGTGGAGAGGGAAAGTAAGGAGAGCTAAGGGAAACAGAGAGGCCAACTTATATGACAGTGTCTGTCTTTTCCTCTTTACCTCCTCTCTTATCTAAATCCATTTAATAAGGTTGATTTTTGGTGCTTGTAATGATTACAGTATTATAGCAATCAGAGTAAGGCATGTTTCTAATAGAATTATCTCAGGACACTTTGGATTTTTACTGGAAAAATTTATTTTGTTTTTGTTGTTGGTTGGGCAGGTCCCTCTAGTGAAGCCTAACTAGGGTAACTAACTGATTACTGTTTGGCTCGCTAAAACCTCAAAGAATTTTCAGTGGAGGAGTAAATAATTAGAGTTTCAAATTATTTATTGTAGAAATAACCAAGTTTTCAATTAGCCGGTCTTGGAAACAAGCTTGGATTGGTGTAGATTGTATACTAAAAAAGAATTTCTCATGTGAATGATGGAAAGAAAATGAAGAGAAAAATGCAAGTTTAAATAAAAGAATTTAATACTTATTTAATTTGAACTATTCTGATAATCTACTTTGATAATATATTTCTATAAATTAGGATTCAGAAACTTCAGTGAAGTTCATTCATTGTAGATGCTAGAATTTTTGAGGCCGTTAATGTCATTGTTTGGTGTTTACCCAAAGTTAAAAGAGGAAGTCGACTATATTCAGGGAAATTAAATAATGTATTGTATTAAATAATGTGTTAAATAATGTAGTATAGGATTTTAGATAGCTAGAGATCTCTCTTAAGGTAGTTATACAAAAGATAAAGCTTAGTGTTCAAGATATGATCTCTAGTTTCTTTGAACAAAAGGGAAAGACAGTTTTTTCAATCATATAACTGAGTAGACATCTTCATGTACTATCTGAGGATAAATTTAAATATTATAATAAAGGTTGGACTGATGGCTCATGCCTGTAATCCTAGCATTTTGGGAGGCCGAGCCTAGGAATTTGGGACCAGCCTGGGCAACATAGCGAGACCTTGTCTATATAAAAAATCAGCCAGGTATAGTGGTGCTTGCCAGTAGTTCCAGCTATTTGGAAGGCTGAGGTGGGAGGATCACTTGAGCCCAGGAGGTTGAGGCTGTAGCAAGCTGTGACTGCACCACTGCACTTCATCCTGGGCAACAGTGAGACCTTGTCTTAATTAATAAGTCAATCAACAGCTTGATTTTATTTTAATCCCATATATTATAGTACTTACAGGTTTATTTTTATTTTATAGTTGTATAACATGGGATATCAGGTATGTAAGATATTTTCCTAAAATGGAATAGATTGGGCTCTTTGAGCAAATAGATTAATGATCTTGTTTGCTTTATCTAGTGAGTAACTTAAATTTTGGCCATTGACAAGAATTTAAGAAAAGTAGAGCAAAAATATGAAATCCTTTGATATTATTTTCTGGGTTATGAGAAAAAAGAGAAAGATGAAGGCACATCAAAGATGTAAACTTATTTTGACATTAAAAATGTGAAGCTTGTAATGCAATTTTACTTGGACTTTTATAAATTTCAGATGTTTGCCTATGAACTTCAGAGCAGAGGATTTAGCTAGTGGTATTCTCCGAGAACGAGTGAAAGTGGGTGCAAGCTTGGCTGATGTTGATCCGATGAACATTGATAAATCAGTAAGTTTTATAAGTGTTTTTCTAGAAGATTTCATTTTTTAAGCATTTTTCTTGTTTCTAAAGCAGCACATAGTAGAACTAGAAAATTCAGATATGACCATTATTAATGTTTCAACATATATGCTTTGCCTAAAAACCCTAGTCACATATGGTGCTTAGGGATTTTCATTTCAGTGTTACTGGAATATATAATAGGGAGGAAATGAGACTGAGAAGGTTATGAGGGGCAAGGCTTCATAAACCATGATGAACAATGGGCTGTTGTTGAAATTGCCTAGTTTCATGCTTTTGTATTTTGGGTAGATCACTCTGGTTATGATATAGTTAATGAATTTGGGGGAAGCAAGGCTGGCATTAGGGAGACTGGATGTTGCTGTGGTCTAGTAATCTGGAGTAGTGGTCATAGTAGAAAGTAGGATAATGGGCTAGGCGCAGTGGCTCATGCCTGTAATCCCAGCACTTTGGGAGACCAAGGTGGGTGGATCGCATGAGGTCAGGAGTTTGAGACCAGCCTGGCCAACATGGTGAAACCCTGTCTCTACTAAATATACAAAAATTAGCTGGGCATGCTGGTGTGTGCCTGTGGTTACAGCTACTCTGGAGGCTGAGACAGGAGAATCGCTTGAACTCGGGAGGCGGAGGTTGCAGTGAGCTGAGATTCTGCCACTGCCCTCCAGCCTGGGAGACAAAGTGAGACTTCATCTCAAAAAAGAAAGAAAGAAAGAAAGTAGGATAATGATGAGAAGTAACTGGGTTTGAAAGAATTGAGGATTGAATTCAGAAATGACAGAATTTGGTGAATTGATTGCTTTTTGGGAATGAGGGAAAGGTACAACTTGAGAGTATTACCCAGGTTTCTAGCTTAAGCAACTAGGTAGATAATGGATGGACTGGATGGGAAGTGGCTCAATTCTCTGAGTAGGGAACATAAGAAGAATAAATATTTGAGTCAGGGATATGATTTAATTAGTTATATTTAACTAATACATGTTTAGGTATCTGAGGTATACCACAATTGGAAGCACCTTATAGATAATAGGTTATTTAGGTTTGGCATTAAGGAGAAATGTCTGGACTAGAAATTCAGATACAGGTCATCAATGTAAAGAGCTGTGGGGTCACTTTGGAAAATGGATGATCGATTACACCTGGAGAAGGTATGTAGCATGAAAATGGACACAAGACTCAGAGGACATGGTAGATTCTTTCTCATTGTTAGTAGTATCTTATTTTGGAGGGTATTTTAGAGGAAGGTTATTTCATAACCAAGAATTTATTTGATATATTTTTTTCTTTGTTCCCATGAATCTCTCTGTACTGTGTAAGTGACTTTCATATGAGATATTTAAAATGTTATCAAATAGAATTGCATATATACTGGAAGATGAAATTTTAACTCTAATCTGAAGTCATAGAGGAAAATGCCTGTCTTACTTTATTAACGAGGCCCTAAACTAGAGTATTGAATATAACCAGAATCCCATTTCTAATAGTACATCTCTCAGAAGACCTTACCTAATGGTCTTTGCTTATTTGGTTTACTAGCACTTTACTCTTTTGAATCTAGTTAGCTTTATTTCTTTTCTGCCTTAAAAAAAAAAAAATCTTTATTTTTATTTTTGTTTCATTCATTTTCATCCACCCATTTATAAATGAATCTAGTTAATTTTAGATGTCTCTTCCAGTCAAGTAGAGTAACTTCTTCTTCTTCTTCTTTTTTTTTTTTTTTTTTTTTTTTTGAGACGGAGTTTTGCTCTTGTTGCCCAGGCTGGTGTGCAATGGTGTGATCTTGGCTCACTGCAACCTCTGCCTCCCGGGTTCAAGTGATTCTCCCATCTCAGCCTCCCAAGTAACTGGGATTGTAGGCATGTGCCACCATGCCCAGCTAATTTTGTATTTTTAGTAGAGATGGGGTTTCTCCATGTTGGTCAGGCAGGTCTTGAACTCCCAACCTCAGGTGATCTGCCTGCCTTGGCCTCCCAAAGTGATGGGATTACAGACATGAGTCACTATACCTGGCGAGCTATTTCGTTAAAATCTGAT